CATTTTTATACTTCACCGACATGCTTAATAAAAAGTTCCAACAACAAAACAACATCGGTCTTCAGGAGGGTTACCAAATCGTCTCATTAGTTGAGCCAATTGTTGTTCCATGATTTCTTGTTTTTGTTGCATCAAAACTCTTTCCTTCTCCACGTTTTCAAGTTGGGTTCGTAGCTCCTTAACCTAAAATCAAACATATAATTAGCAAAAAAACAATATATCAACATTCTTTATCCATTATAGAAACATACCAAAAACATATTCCATAATAACAATGTACTTTCATTTGCTACCAATATAGGTCTTGTACTTATTTTTATCCATAATAGCAACACACTTTATTTTGACAAAATTCTAACAACAAATTATTTATTTAGGGGTTGTTTTCATTCTTAATAGTAAAATACTTCATAATAGCAACATACTTCATAATAACAAGATACTTCATTTTTCATTCATAATTGCAATATAATACTCTATGTAAGTTTCTTGGCTGTTTTGAAATAAATATATTAGGGACTGCTTTCATGTCTCACAAAGTGTTTAATTATAGTAATGTACTTTCTTTATCTATAATATAAACAACCTATTTATTAAGGAAATATACCTCCTGTTGAGACCCACAAGAGGACGACGAACACCGCACATAGATGATTTCCTATTAAACAAAGAGTTTATATATGAGGATCCAAATCCATAGATATAACTACTCCTCGAAGCACCACTTATCTCCCTGTAAGGTCGAACCTTATAATATGATGATGTTTGAAACTGACCACTCAGCGTCAGCGTATGACTCAGCGTCAGCATCAACGTATTAATTACTCAGTGTATAGTTTATATTTAGAATTTTTGTAACAGATTTAGTACTTATCTTGTTTCCATAGTTATCATCTATTAGTTAGCTGGTATATCCCTGATTTGTAGGGATTACCTAGATTAATTCTATATAGTCTTTTTGTACAAGTTTGTGAGAGATCATCTTTCACAAACCCTAATAGCCGCTTTGTGCATTCGATAATCTCTTTGTGAGATTATTATTCTTAGTGAAAGTTCTTTGTGAAACTTCGTTGTTCTTGTTGATAGTTATTGTTTGATAAATTGTTAGATCTAAGGTCCTCTCAATTAGTATCAAAGCAGTGTTCTCTTATCAAACAAATGGCTTCATAATCTTCCTCTTTAAACTCATCAAATCATCCTTCTGCTAAAATTCCTCCATTTGATGTAACCAATTTTGCTATGTGGAAAATCAAAGCTCTCTATGCATTAGAATCTGTAGATGAAGACATGTTGGACATCATCGACAAAGGTCCATATGTTCCGATGTATCAGCCCTTGAAAAACAATGTTCCTGATGGTGTCATGAAGAAAAAACCTAGAGAAAATGGACAACAGATGACAAAAGAAAGAATGGTCTCGATGTTCGTTCTCGGGCTGCAATCAGCTATGCTTTGCCATACAATATCTTTGGGATGGTTCAGAACTACATCTCAGCAAAAGAAATGATGGACACACTGACTGTATCTTTTGAAGGCACTGAGGAAGTCAAGGCTACTCAAATAAATGATTTAAATAGAAGGTATGAACATTTCTTTGTAAAGAAAGGTGAAACCCTGACTCAAACCTTCAACAGGTTTAATACTCTTGTTAATGATCTGCGAAGACTAGATCAGTTGAAGCATCGAACTGTTCTAGTGCAAAAGTTTTTGGATTCTCTGGGTGTAGGTTGGGAGAATCATGTTGATGTGCTGAAAAATAGTGAGAAGATCAGCACAATGGATTTACAAAGTCTCTATGGAAACCTTCGATACTATGAGGAATCCAAGCTCCAGAGAAAGGAGCTGATGAAGGATGCTCAGCGTGAGTCATCAGTGGCATTATTTTCAAACAAAAAGCAAGTGTCAGAGTCAGACACTGAAAACCATTCAGACACTGATTCTTCTAAAAGTGAGACTGATGATATGGAAAAGGTAGTTTCTAGTGCTGCTTTCATTGTGAACACTTTTGAGAAATCAGGCCATAATTTCTCAAAGTTTCAGAAGAGAATGGATGAAAATCTTCTAAAAGGTTAGATACCATCAAGAAACATGTTACTGAAAAGAAAGGCAAAGCTCAGTGCTTTAACTGTGGTAGCACTGATCATTTTGCAAAAGAATGCAAGCAAAGAAGAACCCAAAGCTCGGAGGAATACTGGAAGCAGAAGTACAACAAGTTGGTTGAGAAACTGAAAGCAGAGAACTTGGAACATAAAGTTCTTGTCGCTGAAGAAGAAAAATGGAAGACTGATGAGGAGTCATCAGATGATTAAGTTAAATGTCTGATGGCTAAGATAGAAGATACTGATGGATGTGAAGTCAGCAACAATTCGTTTGATGCTGATATGTCTGATGTAGTTGAAAACTCCAGGAAACACAACACTGATTCCCCTTCAATGTATCAGGTTCAAAATTTTGTTTCCTACTCAATGAATGAAAAAATCAAAATGTTTAAGTATTTGGGTGTTCTTAATTCTAAGAAGAATGAAATTATAAGAGATATGCAAAATCAAATTGATATTCTTAAAACTGAACTATCCTTGAAAAATAACATTATTGACACTACTCAAGAAAATCTAAGAGTTACTAGTTTATCAAATTCCTCGCTATCTGCTAAAATTGATAAAGTTAAAGACCTCTTGAAGAAAGAACAAACTGTGTTAAAACTTTGGGCTAAATCTCACAAAAATGCTAATTATGTTATTTCTGCTCAAATACCTCATTCATGTGAGAAAATCCTTGGGGGAAATTTTGCTGAAGCTGAAAAAGTTTTTAAATCTCAAGAAAATGAATCTGAATTTTATTCCATGAATGAGTTAAAAGATAGTTTCAAAACAAATTTATCAGCAACACTTTTATTAATCAGAGTGTCATTGATGAATACTATGTTACTGATTCTAATGGTGTTACTGAGTGTAATATTGAAATTACTGGAATTGATCCTACTTCTTACCCTGCACATCTTGAGAGACCAACTCCTCTTACTGAAAATATTATCGCATTTCCTATCTCAAACAGAGTGTTTCATGCTGTTCATGAACAACTTAAACATTATCCTGATTGCAGTGTTTCGGTGCATAAGTCTAAATCTGATACTGATGTCAGCTCCTTATCCATCATTGATCATAGTTCTTCTAACACTGAATTCTATTGTAATTCAATGTCAAATAAAAGGACTCAAAGTTCACTTGGTGAATCTTTCAAATCCAAATGTGTTAAATCTAGAAATCTGCTTACCAAGAAAAACTTTGGTACTAGAGTTTGTTATAGATGTGGTGACACCTCTCACAAGATCAGTGAATGCAAGTTTGATAAAACACCGTTAAGAGCTGACAACATCAAAGTTAGAAATGAAAGATGGGCTCTTAAATCAAATTCTTTGAGCTGTCTTCCTAAAGAGTGCTATAATATATTGTCAAATAACTTTGTGAATGACCCATCTTACAATGGTTTAGTGTGTTCTAACTAGTTTCTCAGTACTGCAGGGTCAAGAGCATCTTTGGTACTTAGACAACGGTTGCTCAAGACATATGACAGGATCCAAGTCTCTCCTGGAAGACTATGTCAAGAAAACTGGTCCTGCAGTAACATATGGAGACAATGGAAAGGGGTTTACTAAAGGATATGGGAACATCAAGTGCAATAATGTGGTGTTTCAGAATGTTTCATATGTAAAGGGTTTCAAACACAATCTTATTAGCTTTCTCCACTGCAGAAGCTGAGTATGTTGCAGATGGGAGATGTTGTGCTCAACTCTTATAGATTCAGAATCAACTTTTAGACTATGGGCTTAAATTCACAAAGACTCCTATATACTGTGATAACACCAGTGCCATTCAGATTACACAGAATCCTGTTCAGCACTCAAAGACAAAGCATATCGAGATCAGACATCACTTCATCAGAGACAATGTTGAGAAGGGTAAGGTTGTTCTAAAACATGTCAAGACTTCAGATCAACTAGCTGATATTTTCACCAAGGCCCTGGATACTCAAACTAATGCTCACATTATTGGAGAACTTGGAATGATCACTCTGGATTGAAAATGTTTTACTAATGTTTGCTATTGTCTTATAAACTAATGTATTTTTTTGCTGATGATGTTTACCATGCTGAGTACATTGTATGATCTCTTATCTCTATCTCTTCTACAAATCTTCTAAACTAAAGTTGAATGATTCACTGTATTAAACCATACACTGATAATAACTTGAAACTCTTTGCCGATGGTTAGACAAAACACCAAGATCTATCACACGCAAGTATCCCTTCTTACCAATCTTACACTGATTCTGTGATTCAGTGTGACAAAACACATGCTGATGAGAGTCTAACAGTCTTTGCAGATGGTTAGACCAAAACACCAAGGTCTATCACACGCAACTATCCCTTCTTACCAATCTTACACTAATTCTGTGATTCAGTGTGACAAAACACATGCTGATGAGAATCTAACAGTCTTTGCCGATGGTTAGACCAAAACACCAAGGCTATCACACGCAACAATCCTCTCTTCACCTTCTTCTCACTCAGTTTCTAATGACTCAGTAAGAAGCACCACTCACTGATAAAGACTCAACACTCTGTGCCGATGGTTAGATAATTAAACCAATATCTATCACATGCACCAACCACCTTGCTAAACTTAAACAAGCAAGTTGTACCTTGAATTGATGACAAACTATCTTTCAGCATGTAACTTTTCGTGACACTGATCTCAGCGCTTCGGCAAACACTGATTGTCGTTTCCTCTTCAGTACAACGACTCTTTTTTACCCAACGACTATTTTTTTGATTTGACAGTCTGTTAAGATACGCAGTTATTTTCGATAAAGATAATCATTACCTTTTAAAAACCGTTTAATCCCATATTTAAACTTTTTCCCACCTCTCTCCCAAACCTTCCTCCCATCATTCAAATTTCCTTCTCTCTCTTCAAAACCCTAGAATCCAAACTCTCTTCAATGGCGGCATCACTGTTTACTTTCTCCTCCACTTCAAGAAGAGTTGTACCAGCTCCAAACTCTCCTCCTCTTCCCATATACATCAAAGCCACAAACATCGTTTTCAACCTTGATATACCAGATGTTCATCGCGGTCTTGGACTTGATGATTTTGTCGATTTTTTAGTATCCTGCAGACTTCGATACGCTATCAGTGAGGTTCCATCAGAGTTCTTTCTCGAACAAGTATGTGAGTTCTACTACACCGCAATGGTTAATAAAGAAAACAACATCATCTCCTGTTGGATAAGGTGTCTAAGTCCATAACTTATTTGGTATATACTTGACCCGACCCGACATGGTCCATTTGGGTTGCACTTCACCCGAACTATTTATGGATGATTTTATGAGAGTTATACACATATGATTATTAATATATTATAAGTTATAATATATTAATATGAAGTCATGTTATTTAATTAGTCTTACTCTTAAATTAATTATGAATTAATTTAGTGATTAAAAGGAAGACTAATTAGATTGTGGGCTATTGGTTTTATATGGTGTGGGCTAACACTCATTTGTTAATGGGCTAGGCTTGTATGGAAGTCCATGGATGATCCATGGAGCTTTTAACCCATGGATCCTTGGAAAAGGAAAGGTCATGGGTTATTAGGGTTTCACCCTAACCATGCACACTATATAAACATGCTTATGTTGCATGAAATAGCCACTAGTGTGTGTGTTTGTGTGTGGCCGAAATTATAGTGTGTATACACTCTCTCAAAGTTTTCCAAGAGTTTGTGGTGATTTGTGATTCCGTTTGAGGCATTCACACTATTGGTGCTTGGCCCTCAAACTCCTTAGGAATCAAACTCATCAAAAGGTATGTAATATCATCTAATTCTTTTATGTTTAAAAGTACCCCATGCCATGTTAGATAGGTTACGAACCTTGGAAAATTATTATTTTGCATGTATTTAGACAAACATAGATCCAAGGTTTATTAGGGTTGCATGCACACTTAAGAAGTGTTAGATTGATCAAAACCCAACTGTGGTATCAGAGACCACGTTTGCTTGTTTGATACTTGATGCAAAATAGTGAAAAAGTCAAAGTTTTTGCTGTCTGCATGATGGACTCGCCGAGTCCAAGGCAAAATTCATCCTACTTGCCGAGTAGGTTCGTGCACTCGGCGAGTAGAAGGTCCAGAATGCAGATTTTCGACTTTTGCTGCTGGAAATGGACTAGAAACTTTACCCTAAACTGTTTTGATGTTTTAAAACTTATTTTAGTTGGTGTAATGGTTGTTCTAATCCATTTACAATGGCTCATATCAAAATGTCATGTTTTCTTGAAATTTTGATGTTCATGTTCTTATGAATTTAGAAGATGATAGGAATTATTTGGTGAATTGTTTAGGATTAATTCTTGATCATTTATGTGTTTTAATGGAGTCCATAATTTGTCCTCAAGTTATGGATATCCAAATGTCACTTTTCTTTAACACACATTAAAAACACATAAGTTACATAAAATGAAGAGTCTTCATTTTATGAACCTTTAATTCATAAGTTATGAAATGAAAAGTTTTGAAGAGTTACAAAACTTGCCCTCAAGTTTTGGAATTTGGAAAAGTTTCACACACTTTAATAAACTTTAATTCCAACACTTAGAGTTTTAAAAGTTAAAATTCAACACTTATAATATTTATAACATTAATGGTTATATATATATATACATACATATATATATATATATATATATATATATATATATATATATATATATATATATATGTATAAGAACAAGTCGTTTTACCGTTAGTAGGCCTCATTCAGGAAGCCAGTCTATAAGGCGGGTATAAGGTTGTTGCCTATAAAATGGCGACTTAATGGGTGTCCACTCTCACCCACCGCTTGCATGACTGGTGGAGGGTCGTTAGCCGAACGGGTAGGACAAGGACTTATAAATTCTCATTAAGTATGATGAATATTATAAAGTGACTAAATCTTTTATTTAATTCCCAATCTTAGTTACTTTAGGAAAAATGTGAACATGATGCTAGTTCATGGAATTCACACTTTGTACCTTACCAAGTCGTTGGTGGAGCGTGTGTGGTTAACCGGCACACTAACTTGGACTAGTAAGGATCACGAAGGGTGACTTAATGTTTCTCATAGATCAATGGAGCGTGTGTGGGTAACCGACACATTGATTAGGTGATAATGTTAAGGGTACCAAGTGAATTAGCATGGTTATTCACACCTTGTTTTGTGATCCTCGGCATCCCAGTCACAAAACTCGAAGGGCACAATCGAGATTGAAACATGCCATTGAAAAGTTCAATGAATCTCAAAAGAATATAGGAATTTCAAATCCAATTAAAACCTAATAATTCATTTTGTTTTTCATGGTGGAAATTGGTGAATCGCCATTCACCTACCTTTCGAATACATTATTACTTAAATTACGACATCCCTCTTCTAAGTATAATATATTGTGATTGGATCCTAGCCTTAATATTACATTTGGGTGTCTTATTAAGGACTCTATATATCTAATCTAAACTTGCTTTCTTCTTTCAGATGTCTTCCAACACTATTGCTTCGGGCTCTAACCCAACTGGTTCTTTCTCTCTCTCTCATGAATCTTTGTGGGAGAGTCATATTTGATGGTTCTAACTTCATGGACTGGATCAGAAACATCAGGATGGTAAATCGTTATGAGGACAAGGAATATGTCCTCGATAAGGAGTTAAAAGAGCTTGATGAGTCTACTGCTACTCCTGAGGAGATCGCTGAATTCAGGACACATGAGAGAGATGCTACTAAGGTGGCATGCATCATGATGGCCACGATGATAGCCGAGCTCTAAAAGTCCTATGAGGACTTCTACCCTTTTGAGATGCACCAAGACCTGATGGAAAGGTACCATCAGAGTGCTCGTCAGGAATGGTATGAAATAATCTCCTCAATAATAACAACCCGCATGAAGGACGGTGAATTCGTCACGGCCCACATGCAAAAGATGCAAAGGTATGTGGACCGTTTGCTGAAGCTGCATGTGAACTTCCCTGAGGAGTTGGCAATTGACATCATTTTGCACTCCTTAACTTCTTGTTATGACCATTTTCGTATGACATATCATATGTACAAGGAGGAAGTTACCCTTAGCAAACTTCAAGGACTCTTGCAGATCGCTGAAACCGGTCTTAAGGGCAAGGCGGTTGTTGCCTCAACTACTCCTACTCCAACATCTACCCCTGTTTTGGCTATCGGGCAAGGCAAAGGGAAAAAGAGGAAGCACCCTTCGAAGGGTACCAAGGGAAAGTCTCTTGAAGGCTCCTCATCAAGGACGAAGAGCGGTTCTGTCACTCGTTCTGCCATTCCCAAGGATGCTGATTGCTACTATTGCTAGGACAAGGGGCACTGGAAGCGAAACTGCCCTAAATACTTGCAGGATCTGAAGGATGGGAAAGTGAAACCCACCCACGCAGGTATTTACACAATATTGTCTAATAACTCACCATATTCTAACTCTTGGGTGCTTGATACAGGATGTGGTATTCACATATGTTCTGATTTGCAGGGCCTAAGAAGAAGTGAGGATGTGGAGCACGGGAAAATAAACTTGATCATGGGGAATAGGAAGGCTTCACCTGTTTCCAAGATTGGAGTTTATACTTTGTTGCTAAATAATGGGTTAAAATTAGATTTGGATAAATGTGTGTACTCGTCTGAAATGGCGAGGAATATTATTTCCTTTCATGCTTTGTACAAACAAGGTTTTACTTTTTCGTTTGATAATGAATGTGGTGGTATTAATTCTTTCTTTAATAACGTGTTTTATTTTAAAGCATTACCTTGTGATGGTGTGTATGAAACTGTGTCGATTGTAGATAACTTAGGAAATAATGTGTTGTATATTGATTCTTTTACTAGCCTAGATAAAGCATCATTGTGGCATTGTCGTCTTGGACATATAAACAAGAAACGCATAGGCCAACTCCAAAAGAGTGGAGTCTTGGAGTCATTCGACCTTAAATCGGATGATAGTTGTGAATCTTGTCTACATGGAAAGATGAAAAAATCACCCTTCACTGGAACTTGTGCAAGGGGTGAGGGTTTGTTGGACCTAATACACACTGATGTATGTGGGCCATTCAAAATCGCCACAAGGGATGCTAATCGGTATTATGTGACTTTTATTGATGATTTTAGTAGATATGGGTATGTCTACTTAATCAAACATAAGTCAGAAACCTTTGAAAGGTTTAAGGAATTCAAACATGAAGTAGAAAATCAATTGGGTAGGAACATTCAGATGCTTCGATCCGATCGAGGTGGTGAGTATCTTAGTACCGAGTTCCTTGACTATCTTAAGGAGTGTGGGATTATCTCACAATTGACTCCTCCCAGGACACCACAGCTAAATTGTGTAGCTGAGAGGCGTAATCGAACCTTTTTATACATGGTTCTCTCTATGATGAGTCGAGCTTTGCTACTAATCTCTTTTTGGGGGTATGCCTTAGAGATTGCTGCCCATATCCTTAATCTAGTCCCTATAAAGAAGGTTACCAAAACACCTCATGAGATGTGGACTGGGAAGGTTCCCAATTTGGACCACATCAAAATTTAAGGTTGTAAAGCTTTCGTGAGGCGTGAAACTCATGATAAGCTCGGACCCCGAAGTGAAAGGTGTATTTTCATCGGCTACCCGCAGAAATCCTTCGGTTACCTCTTCTACAGACCCAGTGAGAATGTGGTCTTTGTAGCAAGAAGAGGGGTCTTTCGTGAGAGAGAATTTATAAGACAAGGAGACAGTGGGAGGCGAATGGATCTTGAATCAATTGGTGAAGGAACCTCAAACACTAGCAATCAACCTGAGGAAGAAACTCCTGTTGAGCTAGCTGACGAGTTTGTACCTCCGAGGCGTTCCACACGGGTTAGGAACACACCTGCGTTTTATTATGGCTGTCATATTACTACGGAAGGTGATACATTTATCAGCGATAGTACACTGGTAAATTTGGATGAACCTAGCAGTGTTAAGGAAGCCATGGTAGGCTCGGAGTCTGCTAAGTGGAAGGAGGCTATGGACAGCGAGATACAGTCCATGTATGACAATCAGTTTGGAACTTGGTTGACAATGTACCAGGCTGTAAAACAGTCGGGTACAAATGAATCTTCAAGAAGAAGACCGACATGGAAGGAAAAGTGCATACTTATAAGGCTCGACTGGTTGCGAAGGATTTTACTCAGACTCAGGGTACTGATTATGATGAAACCTTCTCGCCGGTAGCAAAGATTAAGTCTATTAGGGTT